TTGAATAACTTTGTTCCATAAGAAATGTGGTACAGTATCACGGTGGGGTCGTTTCTGACAATTCAGAAAAAAATGTTCTAAAAATAATGACCCAGGCTAAGTAGTCAGTGGTAGAAAATGCTTTGAAACATTGCGTTCAATGGCAACAAGATTAAAGCTGTTCATTAATAAACTATTTTTTTTAAAGCTAGAATTAATGTGATCTACTGCTGTTTTATTATGCCTTTAATTGAAAACAATTCTCTGGCTCTCCTCCTGGATTACATTCTGAATTTGTGATTTGAGAACTCCATAGACTTTGCATCGCTTCTGGCTCCAAGCATGGAGAATTTTGCAAAGAATTGGACTGGGACATAATTTCTCCTTTGGACTCTCCTCTTTGTTTAGTTTGGGTGCCAAAGGGGTTCACGAAGAACATTCCTAGGGTGGAAACAATTTAAGGAGACCTACCAGGGGGATAAATCAACTAAAACAAAATAAATTACATACATTTTAGCCTAGAGAAAAGAACATTAAACAAGGATAAACAGACTTTTTTTCTACTGTAGCAAGGGATATGCCTAGGACAACAAACGCCTAAAGATATAGACATATACTGAAGAGATGCTGGAGGATTGGACTTAAATGGCCTTCTTTTCTATAATTGTATTAAATTCATTTTCCTCTTGGAAATGAAATCACTCAACAAAGAATAACTAAGACACACAAGGGATTTGTCTCCAGTAAAAAAGCACACAATGTAGATGCAAAGCAAGAGAATAATAATAGTAGTAGTAGTAATAGTAATAGTAATAATAATAATATCAATAAAGGTGGAATAAAGAAGATAAGAATAGAATAGAATTAAGAATAGAGTAGAGTAGGGTAGGGTAGGGTAGAGTGGAGTGGAGTGGAGTAGAGTAGAGTAGAGTAGAGTAGAGTAGAGTAGAGTAGAGTAGAGTAGAATAGAATAGAATAGAATAGAATAGAATAGAATAGAATAGAATAGAATAACAGAGTTGGAAGGCACCTCGGAGGTCTTCTAGTCCAACCTCCTGCCTAGGCAGGAAACCCTACACCACTTCAGGCAAATGGTTATCCAACATCTCTTTTAAAACTTCCAGCGTTGGAGCATCCACAACTTCTCAAGACAACCCTTTCCAATTATTAATTGTTCTAACTGTAAGGAAATGTCTCGTTAGTTCTAGGTTGCTTCTCTCCTTGATTAGTTTCCACCCGTTGCTTCTTGTCCTGCCCTCGGGGGCTTTGGGGAATAGCTTGACTCTCTTCTAAATAATAATATAAAATAATGATAATAATAATAACAACAACAACAGCTAAATAGTAATAACTATAGCCATACTAAATGGTGAATGCACCTAAGCATTAGACAGAACTGGGAGAATCAGGTATTCAGCAGAGTGAAAAACTGTCCTTGTGTTTAGTTGTCCTGGCACACCGTGCAGGGAAGGAGTTGAAGCAGTTTGTGTCCAGGGTGCGAGGGGTTTGCAGATGTCTTCCCAGCCCTCCTTCTGACCCACACAATCTACAAGTCCGCAGTGGAAGGCAGGCTGCTTGCCCTTGTTCTTTCTTCAGTCTTAACTCTCGGTTGAAGTCTGGGCCTCTCCTGTTGGGTTGCTGTGCCAAACGGCATCTTCACGTGATTTTTGCCTCCTTTCCACTTAACAGCTTACGTCAGCATGACCTTGAAATGCAAGGCTGGCTTTATCTCATTCTCATATTGTCTCATGGTTTGGAACATGTTTCTGCCAAGTCTTTTTTTGTTCAGAAACCTATCTGTCTTTCTGGCTTAACCCATCCCTGAGTCCGTGATGTCTAAGGGTTATGGCAGGCCCACAGACATTTCTGGAGGGAGTCCTGATATTCAGATCAGCCCTGAGTAAACCACGATAGACTCTTGGGGTGGTCTCTGTATCTTCGAAGAAGGGTGGAATAGCCATGGCAATCAACGAACAGGCGCAATAAATTCTCCCTCTTCATCACCGGTTTCTGTTAGACAGCCGGGAAAGTCTAGCATGATCCCAGCAAAATCTTATGTCAGTAGAGCAAGGATTGGGGTCCCCTAAGGGTCTCCAGTGGGGAAAGGCTCAGAGAAGGGACAGGGGTTTCATGGTGGAACATCATGTAGATAGACAACCACACTTGGAATACGGCATCCAGTTTTGGTCACCATATTATAAAAAAAGATGGTCAAAGAAGATTATTGGGATGGAGGCTAAAACATATGAAGAATGGTTGCAGGAACTGGGCATGGTTAGTCCAGTCTAGTGAAAAGAAGGACTAGGGGTGACATGAGAGCAGCGTTCCAGTATTTATTTCTATTCATTTATTTGTCAATAGCTTTCAAAATATTAAACATAAGTATAAATACAGGAAATAGGTATGAATAAATGGGGACAATAGGAGAGGGATGGTAGGCACGATTGTGCGCTTATGCGTGCCCCCTTATATACCACTTGGGAAGGGGGTGAGGTCAATAGTGGATAGTTTAAGGGTAAAGGAGTGGCGGTGGGGATGAGGATATAACAACCAAGTCAGGTAGTGTGTCCCAGGCATTGACCACTCTGTTGCTGAAGCCGTACTTTCTGCAATCAAGTTTGGATTGGTTTACGTTGAGTTTGTTTCTGTTGCGTGCTCTTGTATTGTTGCACTTGAAGGTGAAAATGTCATCGATTGGTAGTACATTAAAGCAGAATATTTCATAAACTATACTTAAGTCAAACTGTAGGCAACATATTTGATGGCCTTGCACGAAGGCAAGGGGGTCAATTTATTTTCCAAAGCACCCAAAAGGCAGGACAAGAAACAACGGATGGAAACCAGTCAGGAAGAGAAGTAATGTGGAACTAAGGGGAAATGTCCTCATAATGAGAACAATTAACCGGTGGAACTGCTTGCCTCCAGAGGTTGTGGCTGAGGCCTTTATGAAAAGACTGGACAGCCCCTTGTCTGGAATGGTCTATATAGGGTCTCCTGCTTGAGCGGGGGGTGGTGGACTAGAAGACCTCTGAGGTCCCTCCCAACTCTGTGATTCGGTTAACCTTTGTACAGACAGCCCAGTTCACTCTCCAGCTAGAAGGATCTTCAGCTGGCGAGTCAGAAGTTCTCCGGTTGCCATTCTAGAGAGAACTGGCAGCGACTTTCCATTCTGGTTGGTTGGCATTTTCTAACCGTTCTTTAATGTGGATTCCCTCAAGGTGGGCCTCTCCAAATGCTTTGGAGCTGGGTGGAGTTTTCTCAGCCACGAAAAGCAGGCGAAGTGAGAGTTGGGCACCCAAGACTTTCGTTCACGTCCATGTGGTGCTAAGCTCTGGCGGGGCGACCTCTCGGTTCCGCTTCCAGCTCCTGAGTGCTGAATAATCAACCCGCCTGGACGCAGGAGTTTTTCTCTCATCAACCAACCCAGCCTCTGGTGGGCCAGGATCAGCCGAGCTCCAGAGTGCTATTTTACAGCAGAAAGAAACCTACCCGTGGGTCATTTGTGTTATTTTAACAGTCTGGTTCTATAAAACCAAAGCCTCGTAAGTCTTGCCAGGCCTAATTTTGCTTGCTAGCTGATCCCCAAAGCCTGATGACATCAGTCAGGAACGATTCAGAAATATTAGCTGGTTTGGGGGAAATGCACAGTCTGTCTTTGAGATTACATTTTGGAAGCGAAGTGAAATAATCCATTTTCGGGGCATTTTAATGACAGGAAGAGGAGGTGACTCCTGCTGAAATGGTCCTCGGTCTGGTATATTCCGATCTATTAAAATGTATATTCCATCTACTGTTCGCTGGATTAGTGCAAGCCATAATTTTGGGGGTTGGGAAGGAGCTTTCGGAATACACACCTTCTCTGCTCCAAATTAAAATCATATATCCCAACTTGACCCAAATCAGTTTGTGCTTTCAAGCCAGGGTGTCATTGGAGCTTTGTTGCTGGTCTTCTAAAGCAGGGGTCTCCAACCTTGACAACTTTAAGACTTGTGGACTTCAACTCGCAGAGTTCCTCAGCCAGCCTCTACAAGTCTTAAAGTTGCCAAGGTTGGAGACTCCTGCTCCAAAGTGGTGGTTCTTCAACTGGGAGTAGTTATCCCTAAGGAGCAATTTGGTCACTATTCTGACCAAGGCTTCCTGAGGCAGTAACAATCACACGCTGTTCCCAAAAATCTTCTTTTTATATGCATTCACAGCCCATAATGAGTCCTAAAGAGTTTATGAATAGTTCAACAAAAGTCTGCCACAGATAAGGCTGATAAACACTCACCTTGATCTCCCTTGAAATGCTGCCAGTGTCTAAATTGCCCATTAGCTGGACAAGGCCAAACGGAGCACAAAGTCAACATGGAGCTTCAGAGTTTAAATTGACCAGAACGAACATAGTTGCTTCCTGCAAAGGTTCTTGTCCCTTTGTTCCTCCTTTATGTCTTATGGGACAGGCCAGTTATCTCCAAGCCTTACTCCTGAGACACCCCTTTTGTCTTAACTGCTCTTGCCTTCTGGCAGCTGTGTGCAAGGGCACACTGGGAACAGGCTCCCGCTGTTCCTCTGCCTTGCTGCTGTCAGATTCTGGAGGCTCCGGAGTCAGCACTTAACTCTCAGATGGCCCTGGCCCCATCTCTCTGTCAGACACAGATCTCTTGACCAAGCCCTCCCCAGACTCCTGGACTGGCCTACGTTCCTCCTCACTGTCTGATTCTTTTGCCAGCTCCGCAGGATGCCGACTGACCACAACAGTCACATCCTGGGGGTAATGCAGCAATTTGTAGTTACTTGCTAGTGAATTAAGGATGCACCATGGTCCCATGGTCAAAATTCAGACGCTTGACAGCTGGCATGTACTTATGACGGTTTTGGTGTCCCCGAATCAGGTTCGCTTCACAACCAGGTTACCAACTTAACAACTCGTGTGAGAGTGGCAGTTGACCCAAAGTTGGGACGAGGGTTGACAGATGGAACAGAAGACCCGTAAGCCCTGAAGTTCCTTCCTGACTTAACCGTGGTGCTTCCTTTTGCAGTCTGACGGGACCATCCTGGCAATTATCTTGCTGATCCTCTTCATTCTCTTGGCTCTGGCTCTTCTCTGGTGGTTCTGGCCCCTTTGCTGCACTGTGGTAAGTCCCTGGTATCCAGTTCTCCCTTTTGGCTGGCCTTCTACGTCAAAAGGGGGAGAAAATCACTCCCAGAGAAAGCCACAAGGTTGCTTACGATGAATAGTCTGTAAGGAGGGAAACGACGTCTTCCTTTTTGGTTGCACTACTTTGTCGGATGAGGTCACCTAAAAATATGGGTGCTGCGGGTGTGCCTGCCGAAGTGAGATTTCTGGGAATGTATGGCGTTTAGGATCCCAGGGGATTTCAACTTTCGCTACTTGTGTCAGAGGTGGGATTCAGCCGGTTCTGACCGGTTGTACAGAACCGGTAGCGGAAATTCTGAGTAGTTCGGAGAACTGGCAAATGCTGCCTCGGGCTGGCCCCGCCAACCCCATCTCTCTTCTCCGCCTCCCATCGGGTCCCAGCTGATCGGCTGGGTCTCCTTTGGTTGCCCTGCCCAGGAGAACGGAGCTGGAAAGCAGGTTAGTGGGGTGGGGAGGGAAGGGGGATTTTGCAGTATAACCTTCCCCTGCCACGCCACGCCCACCAATCCTCAGCCCTAAGGGGTGCTAGATCTACAGGTTCTAGATCTGCTTTCTGCAGACAATAGGAAGCTGCTGCAGCTGTTGAAAGAAGACAGAAGCCATTGAAGGCACAAATGCCAGCTAACCATGTAAGACCAACCCTACAGCGAGAAGCGAGTACCACCAAGATTGTACCCGAAACACGCTGATACGATCAACCCGATTCTTTCCCAGGAATTACAGCTCACCCAGATTAGGCTGATTTGTTAGCAGTTCTGCTGCCCAGGAGGGCTTCTGCTACCACTGGTTGGTGAACTTTCATCATGTTTGCAAGAACATCCATGACAAAACACGGATGCAAGAACACGCACGACAAAAATTCAGTGGACATTATTCCTTTAGACCTGAGATGTCCAACCATGGCAACTTTAAGACTTCAACTCCCAGAATTTCCCAGAGAAGGAAGTGTGTGTGTATGTGTGTGTGTGTGTACCCAACTCTTTAAAAATAATGTCTAAAAACAGATCCCCTTAAATGATACCAGTTCATCAGTAGCCCTTTTCGCGCTCTCAATAACATTCTATTCTATTTGATTCAATTCTATTCTACATTCTGTTCTATGTTGCATTTTATTCTGCATTCTAGTCTACTCTATCCTGAATTCTGTTCTTTCTGTTCTGCTCTGCATTTTATTCTATTTCTTTTTCTTTTTCCTGTTCTATTCTATTCTAGTGTTATTCTGTTCCATTCTGCGTTCTGCTCTCTTCTCGTCACCATATCATAATGAAGTGGTGGATCCAAGAAGAACATATAGATCTCTGTTTAGGAAAAAACAACAACTAATGGAGCTGGAATCTTAGACATTGTGAGTATATATGCCCCACAATTGCAATATAACCAAAGGCCTTATTTGTGTCCAGTGGCATCTCCACGAGGCCAGTTTTGCACCGTGACTGTGCAGTGCAACTAATTTTCAAATAACTGCACTTTCTACCAGACACCTCTCTGCTTGGAACTTTTTAGCAGTTCTGTTTCTCTATCCTGAGGGCCAAATTCAGCAATCTTCCCTCAAAAGTTTAAAAGCAAGCCAGAGCCACGTCCCCTGTTTTTAAAAAGCGTTCTGGAAAGAAGGTGAAATTAACCAAGGCCCTGTTCCCGAGAGAAAGCATCTTATGCGGGAATCATGTGGAAAGAAGAATCTTGAAAACCTCATGTTTGCATTCCAGCCTTTAAGACAGGAAAAGTAGGAAGAAGCGAGCTGGCCTGCTCGATGAATATTGAATGAAGCTTGGAGAAGAAAACCAGGCTCTGGGCTGAATCCTCCAAGGAATCTTTCAAGATACAGCTTGCACATTTTCCCATCGGTCTGGAGGAAATAATAATGAAGTTAACAGTCCTTTGACAATCACTTTCCAGCCAGGGAGATAAAGGCTGGCATTATTTCTCAATCCTATTAGGAAGCTTCCTCCCTAAATGTAAAAAAAAAAGAAATAGTTGCACAAACACAATGAAACGTATGAGGAATTATTGGAGCGAATTGCTCGTGGTAGATTAACACGTTAGCCGATAATTTATTGGGAAATTTTCCTAGGTGGGGAAGAAATGTCTGCAAGCCAGGTGGAGTTTCAAATGGATTTTAGCTAAGTAAGTAGCTTGGATGAAGCGAGACAGTTTTGGCCTTGCTAGAATTTTTAATTAGTAAGGATCAGCTCTGCTGACATTCCTTTGGACAGGAAAGAAGGGAGTTTAAGAAAAAAAAGAAGAGAATGGCGAAATGGTTGGTTGCATTCTCTGGTCCAGCTGCGCAAGGATGAATGTGAGAAGGGTTTGTTTCTCATTAAACAGAGCTCTATTTGTGCGTATGGGGAGTTCACATTAGTAGCGATCCGCCCCCCACTCCTTGCAATGCGCATTTTAGGATTGCACACCCATTAAAAGGGGTGGAGTTGATTGCAAAGTCAAATTGAAGCCAGTATCTGTCCCCCACCCCCGAGGCCGCCTGGACAACTATCCTATTGCAACCCCATTGGTGTCAATGAGATTCCCCTCGTTCTCCTGTTGAAGGAGGCTGGTGTGCATGGATCGGATGTAGGTGTGAATGCTTTCACGGGAGGTAAGGCCTCGATATTTAGTCATCTGATGACAAAAGCTGTCCTGGGAAGTAGAGAGGCTCCAAGCCTCACCGGATCAGGTCAAACTAACCCTACACATTCTGCTTCCAAATATTAGCCAGCTGGGATCTGTATAAGGGATGAACGAAGCGGCTTTCACCACTGTATGATAGTCACAGCTATCATCTTCTTTTAATGACCCCATAATCCCTTGCGGGGTGGAATGTGGGCAGCTGAATGGAGCTGAGTGTTTCCTGGCCAGATGCCTTTCCTGTCACCGATCTGGAGTTTTGTCAGCAGATACATTCTCACTGTGTCCAGAGAGAGAAATATCTGCCTCTACCTGGGATTGAACTCGCTGCCTCCTGATTGTGAGGGGAGAGCTCCACTTCTAGGCTGCCGCGCCACTCCTGATGTTCACAGCTGTATACCTCTGGAAACAGATGTCTCTCGTGTATGATGAATAACATCTGAGGGGTTATGTAATTCGCCCAATTCAGTCGAATTCTAGGAGCTGAAGTCCACAGACCTTAAAAGTTTGTCACGGTTGGGCACCCCAGACATAAATGAGAAGCTAGGGAAGGAAAGCCGCGTCTGAGAAGGTGCAGCGTTTTCTGTTTGCTATGAAGTTCTTTCTGTCGGGGCTGGGGGGGGGGGGGGTTAAATTTGGACGTTCACGCCTTCAGGTATTTTGCCAGCTCCTCAGAAGGCGACCGGCCAGATCTGAGGGCTGTGGTTTTTAAATGGAGATTGAAAAATGTGTCTGTCGTGGCATCTTCTGAGGAGAGGCCCTGAAAGGGACCCTGAGGTGACTTTTTCTATTCATTTCCCTCCTTTTCAGATTATTAAAGAGCCTCCGCCGCCCCCGATGGAAGACAGCGAGGTGAGTGCTTGGGTCCTTTCCAACATTTTCTTTGATGTTTTGCAACGCTGTTGTGTGGAGTCTCTATTTTCGTGATGTATTTTGTTCGCACAGCTCAGTGGGCTGCTCAAGGCCCCTGGAAAGGGATCAGGTGGGGATCAGGTAATTCTTGCTCGCTGGGTTGCTCCCTAAACTAAGGATCTCCAACTGTGGCCACTTGAAGACTGGTGGGCTTCAACTCCCAGAGTTCCTCAGCCAGCTTTGCTGAGTGGCCTGGCTTCAAGTGGCCAAGGTTGGCTGGGGAATTCTGGGAGTTGAAGTCCGTCAGGCTTCAAGTGGCCAAGGTTGGCTGAGGAATTCTGGGAGTTGAAGTCCACCAG